ATAACTCTAATGATATTGGCCAGAATTACTTTTGTCTGTAAAATAAGCTTCAGTAAAATAAACTTGTTGGTAATTGTTAGTGAGTTGATTGGATCCCTTTTATATCCAGAGAGGCATGCCCGGGGCATAGAAAGGCATGCCCTTCACAAAGACATGCCCCCTGAGGCATGCCCCAAAAATTTGCTGTGCCCCCAACTCTAATTGGGTGGGATCCTCATGGTTGCAGATTCATTGAGATGAATAGTTGGTCAGGTTTGAGATTTTTTTAGATTTGGTAATATCAACAAAGAAGATGAATGTGTCGGCATACTCTAGAATAGAGAAGCTAACAGTGAATATGAGTTTTAACCAATCTTTAATAGTGATATTTAGAAAATTTTTTGTGTGTTCTGTGTCTGGGCTGGTGGCAAGCAGGCAATATTGGTGTTTTTAGGTTGCATGAGTTTCGCAGGTCAAAAAAAATAATTACTAATGAAAGAAAAGCTTTCGGAAGCTATATTTTTGGTGTAGTCTAAAGGTTTATCAGAGTATAAAACTTGTGGCTTCTCGCTGTTTTTTCTTAGTATGCTGTCTGTAGCTTGTTTTTGGTTATTTGAAAACTGAGGGTCTATAGAACCACTTTTTGCGGGAGGATCAAAAAACTGTTTTTTTGCTGTTTAGCATATTTATTGCTAGTATCTTATCCAGGAGAGGTCTTTTGGCAAAATTTGCACCTTTTTTAGGTTGTTCTTGGGGTGCTGGTTAACTTTACTTAGAAGTCGAACATTAAGTTACTTAATAAATATTAGGGAAAATATTATAGAAAAGTTTTTTTTCTTGTTTCTAATTTGGTAAAGTGATCTACAGGAAAAGTTCTTTTTACAATATATTATTGTTTTAATTAGTTTAAATTTTTTTAATAATAAATAGAATTTATTATTTACTAACCTTTGCTGCTCTTCAATGTTATTTTTATAATCAGATCTATTATCATGAATTTCTAAACTAAGTCCTTTTTTGTGTTGCTCTTTGTTTTTTCTTTTGTCTTTTCTTCTAATTAGTCATTCTTTATGTTGTTCTTCATTTTTATCATCCTTTTTTTTTCTTTTTTTTTTGCGGTCTTGAGCAAGGCATTTTTCTCATTGTTCCAAAGCTTCATTCTCTTTTTATTATACTTTTGCTCATTTTCTCTTGTTAAACGTAATTTACATTGATTATCAGTTTCAATTTCTCTTCTTTTATTTCTATTTTTTAAATCAAAGGCCAGACACTTTTTGCATTTTTCAGATGATTTATTTTCTTAATTTTTGCATTTTCGAAGTTTATCATTATATAATTTGCCTGCTATTATTTTACCAAATTTGCTTTTTTTTATTTTTTATTATTTTTTGAATTATCGCCTTTATTTGTAGGTGAATTAGAACTTATATAAGCATGTCTTAATATTTATAATTTTTATTTGCCTACATACTATATTTTGTATAATAACACACAAGGTGTAATTTCTAAATTAAGCTTAATCCAGGCCATTATTCGAAATAATGCTTATGAGCATTATTATGTGAAAATACAGTAACCACCAGTAATGTAAATTAGATTAGCGCTATAGGCGCAGTGCACATAGATTTAAATTTGCGCATATATCAGTGCTCCCCATATATATAACGCGCGTATAAATTTTTCTTTGTGCATATTTTTTTTTGCATTTGCGCCAATAAAAATTTTTTGAATTTATAACACTAGTAACCACAAAGCGCGTATAAAATGAGTAAAATTTTTTTTAATTTTAATTATATTTTCACCTTTAGGGATAGAATTAATGTTAAACAATTATCAATTTGATTTTAATTGATTTGAAAATAAAGTTTGAATTTAAATTTGTTATTATCATGGTAAGTACTCAATATATAGAGTTAATATATAATAAGAAGTGAGCAGATGAATATGTGCACAGTATGAGTATAGTATAAATCAACAGTATAATATTGAGATAGCACAGTAGAAATATAGAGATACGATATAATAAGAAATCGCTCAGATAATTTTATTATAAAGGAGGAATTGCTTAGAGAGAACCTAAAGAAAATACAAAGATGATCATAGAGAGTTTATATACATGCGAGCAAATTATAATTTCTTCTCTTTCACAATCATTGGTCAAACATCCCTCCAATGCTTCCCTACAACTTTAATAATCAATGATGTAATCAATATCAAACAATTAACATCAATTCTTTGATACTTTCTCACTGGTTAACACATACCATAAATGGAATTGAACTATTATCTACCGAAATAGTGTTACTATTAGTTGGAAAAGCAATTCAACTAATACATTCGATTTAGCTCTAATAGTAATCAGAAAAGGTTATAAATATCTTTTGTTCTAATATAAGCACATGGATGATATCACAGATTATGCAGAATAAAATCGGACAAATTGTCTATTAACCCAAACTGGGAATTATACGATTTATTTTCTAAGATTCAAATTAAGAGGGCAGTATGCAATGTAAATACTTTAAAAATATACAAGATAAGTAATAATATGAAAATGTGGGTTAATGCTTTAGGATAACAATTAGAAGGTTATAGTTAGCGGATAAAATAGTTAAGACAAGTAATATATCAAAAGAGTTTTCGTTATTAACAATACAACACAATAAAACTTATTTAATCAGTGAGAATTCGATTCTTATTTCAAATTCATTAAAGACATTGAAGTCTGAGAAAACTTTCTTAGCATGAAAACACAGGCCTTAAATACATTTTAATTTACTATAAACTACTTCTCTATCCTTTTAAACTATAGCATTATTTTTTGCTATTCTATGTACAAGGCTGCAAAATGGTTTGTATCTAGCCTCGCGACAAGGATATCTTGTAAAAGCCCCTTATACCCCTTCATATCTCTCACAAGGCATCATTATTACTGTTCTTCTCTATCAACAAGACATCCATTTTTTGTTTACATAAACATCAATGACTAATTATGTTTCTTGTCAAAGCAACAAGATATCTGTATCTTGTTTACATAAACACATTAGAGTGTATAATATCAGTCTAATTACAAACATAGTGCAAGTCATATGTATAATAATGATTGCTAATTAGAGACCCCAAATTATGTAATATTTGTGCGAGAAACCAAATAAGTGCCACCAAGAGAAGACTTGTCATTGGGCTTTCAATTATATTTTGTGCCAGACAAAATCTATTTAATTTCTTAGAAAATATGTCCGCTACAAAATATAATTGAAAACCTGATGACAGGTTTTCCCTTGGTGGCACTCATTTATTTATATTAGTTACAATAAAATTTATATTAGTAAAATATAGTAGATTCACATATAAGTTTCAATTTTAATTTGAATTAACTAAATATACTGTAACAACTAGGAGTTTTCAAGTTTATAATCATAATATTGGGAATTTATATCTATTATAACTGATATAAAATACAAATTTGAATGCTTTATATTATCTATAATTATAGAAAATTATATACTATATTTAACTGGGGCAAATTACCTCATTTAGTATTTTTAGGATTAGGATGTAGCTTTGAGATATATAGAAGTTTTTATATATATAGAAGTTTTTATATAATATAATATATATTGAATATAGTATAAGGTTCTAATTTTAGTTTTTATAAGGCTTTTAGGGGTCCTGAACATTTTTACTTAAGATACCTGATCCCGTTTACTTAGTGCGTTTTTGAGATATAGCACCTCAAATACCCCAGAGAAAATTACCTCTGGTTAAGATTAGCAATACTCTTAATTATAGTATATAATATTAGTGTAAAATATAATTAAAGTTACTATATAAATATTATATTTATACATATCTTTTTTACAAATTGCAATAATTAAAGTAAATTTAAATATAATTCTAAATTAAAATATTTTATATATATCTATAATATATATTATTGTTTTATATACTAAAAGCTTTATTTTGTTAAAAGATATTATATAATTTATAATTTTAGTTTAGTTAGTTTTTCTTTGGACTCATAACAGTTCCTGTTTACCCAGTTTTAATTAGAATATACACTTATAGAGTATCCATGCCTACTAAAAACAAAGTGCTGTGCGATTTGTTTCAGCACTCTAAAGTATCACCGAACTATTGTATATAGATAATTATACTATTAAGTAAAAGAGTATGCAAAAAATTATACTATAAAGTAACAAAGTATAAAAAAATTATACTGTAAAGTACAGAAGTAATAAAGTTTACAAAATACTTAATAAAATTTTATATAATAATTCTATTTAATATAAAAAATACTTTTGTTAAATTAATGATAAGCACCACTAAAGGAAATCCTGTTAACTAGTATTTAATTATATTTTATATCAGATGTAATCATTAATAAATCAAATAAATTAAGTCTGGTATGAAATAGAATTAAAAGCCTGATAACATGTTAAAATTTTTATCGCATAATATATATACTTACAAATCAATTTTATCACATAATATATGATTACAAATTAATGTTTATCATTTAAATAAATGAAATACTTAGTGCTATTTGTATTACTTTTTTAAAAAACATCTATAGATAGATCAAATTTTTCATCTTCAAGCGATTTCGATTTAAGCTTTATAACAAATAGATCTTCATATAACTTAAAATCAGAATCATCCAATCTTTCAGCATCTCTTTATAATGATTTTATAGTTTTAATAACTGATTTAATTGAAGATATAAGTTCAACAGTTATCTTTTCAGAAACTACGAACTTATCAAATATTTCAACCAATGCTACTAGCTCAACAATTATTTCAAATAAAAATTTTTATGATAATAAGATTCCAGAAATAGAAATTGTTTATTTGTTATTTTCTTTATAGTATTAAAGAATAGAATTTTTTATTTAATTATATTATTTATATATTCTTAGATCGAATATCAAGTTAATGAATTTGATAATATTTCTGAAATTTCATATAACTATTTTACAAAAAAATTGCATTTTAGTGAAGTTAGATATTTTCCAATTTTAGTTAAATATCCTCCAACTTCTATAGAGGGTATAGCAACTGTTTATAATATTTCAGAATGGGATGATTTTAATTCAGCATTTTCTGATATAAGTTATTAATTTTCAAAAAATGCTATAATTATAAGCTTATTAATTCTAATTTTAATTATATAGATTCAATATAATACTGGCGAAGGTGGTGGGAAAAAAGTTGTTGAATGTGAATTTTTAGGATGTAAAGTTTACAAATCTGTTAGAATTTGTACTGGGGCAAAGATATGCGAATTTGCATTGGATGAATTAAAAAATACAACATATACAGAAATAAATGAAGATATAGATTTTTATAAAGTAAATCAACCTGTAGATTCACAAATATTAATTGAAGCTAAAACACATACGTAAAGATTTAATATTATTAAAATAAATTTTAAATATAATTAATTAATTACTAATATATTTTATAATTTATTAATAAAGAAAATATTTAGTATTTATTAATATCCAATATCCATATAATTCCAATACTTGTATTGATAAACCTCAAGTTTGTCGCTATGGAAAAAAATCAGATGATGATTTACTATCTTACTTTATTTGCTGTTCTGCTTGGCGACCTGGACAAAAACATATATATAGCAAATTAAATAATGATGAAATTAATATTAAAATGCTTTAAAAGTTATTTAAAAGAACATTAGTAAGTAATAGATAATTTGTTATTAACTATTTAAATTAAAATTAATTTTTTTTAGATTAATTTAGATAAACCTATAAAACATTGTAGCACAATTTTGTCTACCAATACTAGAAAAAAAGAATGTCATAAGTATTTTATAATTTTATTTATACATAAAATTTTAAATTTTATACTATAAATTTAATATTAATAAATAATATTATGATAATTTATAGCTTATTTTCATCTTATAGAAGAAGGTCTTAGGCAAAAAGAAAAAATTATTAAATTGAATTGTAATGTTCAATTTATTAAATTAGTTCCAATAGATATTAATAAAACACCTTTTGTAGTTTTAATTTGTAAAGGTATTCATACACATCCTCCTTCTCCTCCAGTTAATATTTCTTCTGGAATTAAAGTAAATTTAGAGTGCATGATTAAAGATGCTATACAAACATTTGAAAGAGTTACATCAAAAAAATTAATATCTAGCAATTTATTAAAAGCTTATTTTGGAAAAGAGCTTTTTACTGAAATTCATTTCTCATTAAATAATTTGAAAAAACTTAGATACCTTGTTAACAAGGTACAACAGAAACAATTTCCAAATGAGCAAGGTTTATTGGGTATTGTTACAGAATTTCAAAATAGAAATAGAGAATTTGATAGATATTTGCAAGAAATTGGTAATTTATAAATATTTTAAATTTATATATTTATTAATTATTAATTTTTTATTAATTTATAGGGATATTTGATGAAGGAAAATTTATAATTATTTGTATGAATAAAGAACAAGCAATTGCTTGGAAAAATACTGATAATTATCAAATAGATATGGTATTTAAATGAATACATGAGGAGGTAAATAAATTTGAGATTAATAATTATAGTGAAGATTATAATTAGAGTAAATAATTTTATATTTTTATTTTAAATTATTTATTAAAGTTTATTATAGCTAATCAATTATATAAAATTTTAGGTATTACATTTGCTCGTGTTTATACTAATGCTGCATCAGCTAAAGCATATTGCAAATTTTTTACAAGTTTATGGCATCATATTAATTTATTAACAAATGAACAACCATCTTTTAATTATTTACATAATAAAGGGTAGAAATGTATAATCAGAGACTTAGATCAAGGGCAAGCGAAGGGTTTAGGATTAGCTTTAGCTAATATTAAATCAAAATATACCTGGAATAAACATTTAACTTATATTTTTAAAAGTTGCAAGATATATTTTTATCAGTAATTTATTTATTTATTTATTTATTTATTATTTATTTATTAGTTATAAAATTAATTATCAAATATAATAGAAATGTTAATAATAGTGGACAAAGTGAAGATATTAAAAAGCAAATGATTGAAATTTCTACTGCTAATTCAAAATCAAAAATTGAAGAAATTTTTTCAAATCTAAAATCTGCTTCGAATGAAAGTTTAAAAGGTAATTATTTAATTAATTAATTTTAAATTTAAAAATATTAATATTTTTAATATTTTTTTAAAGGATTTTATAATTTATTGCACGGTGCAATACATTGCACCCCTATAATAATTAGAGTTAGGGTGCACCCCTATAATAATTAGGGTTAGTGTTAGTGTTAGTGTTAGGGATAGTGTTAGTGTTCGGGTTGGGGTTGGGGTTAGGTAAAATCGCAAGAGGATCATTTTTCATTAGTTACACAACAGGGTTACCCTAGTAAAATTTTGAGATATAGTGGGGGTGCAATACATTGCAGGTGCAATAAAAAATAAAACCCTTTTTTAAATTTCAGAATGTGTTGAATTTTATTCAAATGATTGGGTCCTTGCTTCTTTAAATCCAGTATTTTCTAAAATTCCAATTGATATATGGTATTCAACTTCACATGATACAAATGATCCGAAAGCAGTCATGCAAGAGTTAATAGATATGGAATTAATTTAAATCTTTATGTAGCAATTCAAAAGTATTTATATTTAAATTTATTAGTTATAATTTTATTTGGTTTATTTTATAATTTATTAATAATTTTTTAGAGGCTTTTTAGAAGATAAGGGAACATTTCATTCAATTAAAATACATCAAGTTTCAGGAATTTCTTGCTCTAGCCATGATCAGGGTATTGTTTCAAGAACAATTCATTCAGTAAATCAAAAAAGTAAGTATTAATTTAAATTTAATATAGCATTTTATTAACTATTTAATAAATTTTAAATATTAATTTTAATTAATTTAGTTAAAAAAAAACGAGCATCTACTTCAAAATCAAAATCAGCAAAAAAACAAAAAACAGTTATAAAACAAATTAATACTCAAGAAAGTGATTATACTAATAATTTGAAAGATATAGAAATAAGCGAAAGAAGACTTGCACTTAAAGAAAAGGAAATCACATTAAAAGAACGTGAAGCAGAGTTAGAATTAAAAAAATTATAGATTGAAAAAATGAAAAAAGAGCTTAATAAATAAAGTTGCATTGAGAATAGTAGATGCAAAGTTACTGTATAATATAATAGTTAAAATACAGTATCGTATTGAAAATTAAAAAGCATTATGAATTCTGAGAAGAATTATATAGACTAGAATTTATAGTCAAAAAGCAAATTATCTTGTAGAAAAATAATAATCGATAAACATTAAAATAAAATTAGTACTATTTAATATCTGCATTATAAAAAAAATTTAAAATGCTTATTCGACTATAATACTACGCTCTAGACATTATAGTACTTTCTTCGACTATACTCTAAATATTATATAATAATACTTTCTTCGACTATACTCTAGGCATAATAATACTTTCTTCGACTATACTCTAGGCATAATAATACTTTCTTCGACTATACTCTAGGTATAATAATACTTTCTTCGACTATACTCTAGATATTATAATACTTTCTTCGACTATACTCTAGATATTATAGTACTTTATAGTACTTAAAAATACTGTAAAGTATCTATAGGGCACGCCATAAAAATTGTCCGGCCTTTACTTTTTTAGAATTGGATCATGGTACTCTATACTGATTAATCGTATTAATTAAGTTTAAAAAAAATCAATTTTATTACAAGTACTGTATATAAAGTTTATCAATTTATATTTTGATAATTATACGTTTAGTTTAAGCTTCAAAAGATAAACAGTATAGACTCTCAAGTGTATAGTTTATATTTATCATTAGTATGGCCGACATAACAAATATAAATTATTCATATCTAACCCTACATAGGTAATAATTCTAATAATCAAACTTTATATGTAGCCTGAGAATTTTATTAGCTACGTATGTTGTTATAACAGGTGAATTTATAAAGACTTTAAACTTTATCGTAAAGTTGTTAGTCGAAATACCCTGTTAAGTCAAATATTTAGACAATTTTATGTTTCAACATGGCATTATTTTTTTGTCAAAATGTCAAAATTCTAATAATAAATGTCTAAATAGTCGACTAAATAAATACTATACTGTATGACTAAATATCCAAATTAGTGATAGAGAGCTTGTACATTAAAAGTACCGGATTTTTGAATTAATAATAATCCTGATTCAAATTATAAACAATTAACTTAGTGAGTACTGTATGAATAAAGCACGCATAAAATGGTGAAAATTTTCAGTCTAATGTCATTTAGAAAAGTATATATTGTTAAACCCGTTTGATAGGGGCAAGCAACGGTTCTTGATCAAATTTATTTTAAATAACATGAATTCCACAAAATAAGCAAGTTCGGATACTTACTAATAGATAAGTTTATATATATATTTTAATTTACGCTTTTGACATCATTTTGACATTTAGAATTTCGGCAGACTAAATATCAAATTTCGAAATATTTTTATCATTCCCTATAAGAAAAGTGGTACGGGTTGTGGTACGGGTTGGTTTCGGGAATGTACGGAGTGGCACGGATTGTGTGG